AATAATAAATATCAGAAAAAAGTGTATTACCCGGCTGAACATGTTGGATTTACTAGTGAACATAAACGTGGTTGTCCATCAGGTAAGACTTCTGGACTTAATTGAGGATTGCTGCATGTTAGAAGAGTACCAGAAAGACCAGAAAGTCCTCCAAAAATATTTGGACTTATAACGGCTAAAACAGTTAAGTAAATTTTAATTTTTAAATTTCTAGTTTGAAAGCGTTGTAAACTAACATTTATTCCAAAAAAAAACATCAACACTTTAAAACAATTGCTAAACAACATTAAAAACCAGTAAGTAATGGTCAAATTTATTGGCTAAACAGAGGTAACTGATAATAATACCAATTAAATGTTCCGGTTAGTTCACGTGCGTTACAATTAATTTAAGAACACTTAATTCTTTCCGAAAAAAAAATCTAGAACTAGAACTAGAACTCAAGTAAGACGAATTATCTAACATATATAAAGCTAAAAAATGTTTATCGAAAAACTGTAGTTTATTTGACTATTTTTTATACTTTTTTCTTTTTTTATTTTCTTCTGTTCACCCCATTCTCCCCTTCTCTTCTTCCGGCTTCTTTCTTCGCCATTTTTTTGTCTAATCTCCTTGTTACAGAGATGTTCAAAAATTGTATAATAGTTTCAGTATAGTTCTGTAATAAAAACTAAAGACAAAAACCACCATACTTGTCCACAACTGGTGTTGTTTAAAAGCAGCCGAAAACCGTTTGTTATTTGAACATTTTTTTTTCAATAAGCTTAAATTTACCGAAAGATTAACAGTTCTTTGAGCAACAAAGAAAAAGACGAAATTATTTTATACGTTGCTGTAGACATTTAAAAAAAAAATTCAACTGTTTTTATTAATCAGAAAAATAGTTTTAATTCTTTTTTACTAAGTTTTCTTTTTAAAATTTTAATACTTATATAAATGTGGTTTCTGAATTCATCGTTAGTATTTAGGCATTCAGTGATTGATCTTAATGTCAGCGTTTAGTTTTTTTTT